TTTAAGCTTAGGAATTCAATAAATAATGATGGAAAATGAAGAAAACGAGTTGGAATTTACTAACCCAAGAGGTCTTGATGAAAGGAAGCTTCAATGGATGCCTAAGGACCTTGGAGAAGAAGAAACTCAGATGTTTTTATGAAAATTTCGCGACTACACTGTTCTGAAACTTAAAAAATATAACTGGGCAAAATTGCCCTTCGCGTTCGTGACAGGAGGGTCGCGTTCACGAAGGGTAGGAGCTGACAAGCCTTCGCGTTCGCGAGAGGGAGAGTGCGAACGCGAAGAGGAAAATACTGGGGGTCCAAGATTTGGCATACGCGAACGCGTGAGGCCTTATGCGAACGCGATGAGTGAGGACAATAAGCCTACGCGATCGCGAGATATGGTACGCGAACGCGAAGGAGGACAATCTGGGGCTTCGCGAACGCGTGAGTTTGTTTGCGAACGCGAAGAACGGGGGAGGGGGGGCTAAGGCACGCGAACGCGAGATAGAGGGTGCGAACGCGAAGAAGAAAAGGTCTGTGCACCTGTTGCAGATTTTTCTGCAATTTTACTAAGTCCAAAACTACCCCGGAAACACTCCCGAGCCCTCGGGGCTCCTAACCAAACACATACACTAACTCAACAACATCCTACGAACTTAACCATGCGATCAAATCGCCAAAATAACATCAAAAACAATGAATCAAACCTCAAAACCAATAGTTTTTCTTCAAACTTCATAAACTTTCAAATTTAGAACTTATAGTCCGAAACACGTCAAACGACGTCCGATTTCAACCAAACTTCACAGAAATATCTTAAATCACATATAAGACCTGTACCGGGCGTCGGAACCAAAATACGGGCCCGATACCAACACGTTCTAATTGATTTTTATTTTAATTTTCCTTAATAATTTCAGAAAAACAATTTCACAGAAAAATTTATTTCTCGGGCTCTCGACCTCGGAATTCGAGTCCGGGCACATGCCCGAGTCTCATATTTTTCTACGGACCCTCCGGGACCGTCCAATCATGGGTCAGGGTCCGTTTACCCAAAATGTTGACCAAAGTCAACTTTATTAATATTAATATCAAAATTCATAAATTTTTACACAGAATTCATATTTAAGCTTTCCGGCTACACGCCCGGACTGCGCACGCAAATCGAGGCAAGTAAAAGTGAGGTTTCAAAGCTTCGAAAGCACGGAATGAAAGAGAAAACAGGTGATGACCCTTTGGGTTGTCACACTACTTTTGCTCAGCATTAAAAGTGCTGGATAAAAAGTAAATACCACTTTAAAAGGTGGCTATCCCACACAATTTTACTCTAAATAACTTGTAAGTGATAAAAACATAATTAAATTTTGGAAGAGCACCAGAAATATCAGTTCAATTGAGTTTTGAAAATATTCTAGGGCGCTTCCGCTTTTAGAATAGGGTCAAACAACCAATAATTAGCCTTAATTTCATCATTAAATTGTTACTCTACTACTTGTATTTAATTTCTGTTGATGGATACTGCGTCCCATACCTGTATTAAGGAGTAATAAAGTCTTGAAATTAAAAGACTGAGAAAAAGCACTAAAGGGCATTTTATTAGCCAACTTCACATGCACCCTGCCTTTATGGGTAAATGGATAACTTATTAGTACTTCCTTAAATCCCAAGCATTGCTCATTTTGATAGAGTGAATTTATTTTGGAAATATTTGAAGTTTTAAGAAAATAAGAGGTCAATTTTTATATTAGTGGAGCTAGGAGTGTTAGTCAATTTCTAAGTGAAACGTTTAAAAGAAAGATAAATAAATTTTAAGACAAACACTTATATTTTTAAATATACTAATGTCTTATTTTTTAATAAGTGTGCCAAAATTTAATACATTTGATTTGTACACAGGGTTTATACATAAAATTAACGAAAAGAACCCTCAAGTACACACAAGATAATTAGTGGTTTCATTTGTACCGGCCAGCCATTTAATTGCCTCAATCATGGTTTTGGACAGCCTAAGAATGCAATGCAGTGGATACACACGCGTTTTACACAAACTGGCAATGATATACCAATAATTAATCAAAACTTTAGTAAGAAAACTGGCCACCTTTTTAACATAGATTTTTTGACCTTTTCTCTTTATTTATTTGTTTATTATGTCAAATGGAAATAAATAAAACAAGCTAGTCTGCTCACTGCTTGTGCAAGTTGGCGTTATTTAATCTCAGTAAGCCAATATTGAAGATAGATTTTACTCTCATAAGTTCAATTTCTTAACTGGCATGTCTCACCAAAACTATTAGTGGTTGAGTTGGTTGAAAGAGTGGTTTCTAATGGGAGGCCTGTGATCGATTTCCCTCACAGTATTTCTTCGGCCAGAGTTCGTCGCACTGGGCTTGCCGAGTGTTTTACATCTTCTGCGTTATTTGCGAACTATTGCATAATAAACAAGTTACCTAATGCACACCCGAAAGATAGCGCTGCAGGTTTTCGTGGGAATTTCTAACTTTCCAACTACAACATGATTTTAGCATTAACTTAAGCTTATATATATCATCATATCACCCAAAGAATATCGACAAATAAACCTTTTTAAAGTATAAGATTAGTATTCTTATTGATAAAATAAGTTATCTGCTATAATAAACAAAGATGACCTAATAATATAAAATCTCTTTGTACTAAGGATATGTATAATTTAAACTTTTTGGAGTGATTTTTTCTTTTGCTTGTTATCCAAATGAATAATGAACTGATAATGGGTAGATGGGCAGGCAATATGACTTTCCTTATCCAACTTAATTTTCAAATTACAATCTGAAAAACTTATCCTTTTTACTTTTGACCAGAAACTAAACTTTTCTTCCAGATTATGGAGTATTTGAAGTTACACCTAAATATATGTTTACAGGAAGAAAATAGTGTTGGGTTTTGGATGTGTTTAATTAACATATTAAATACTTAAAAGAGGGTGAATGGGAAATGGAGGGAAATAAAATTTTTGAGTGAAATTTTAAGTTCCCCCCTTGGCAAATGGGCATTGTCCCATATTGGAAGAGGAAGAGGTTTTTTATGGGTATATAAGCAATTGCTCTTCTTCTAGCTCTTAAAGAGTTGAGAAGAAGGCAAGCCTCGCGCCATCGTCGTCGCTCGCTCGGCTTCGGCTTCGGCTTCGGATGATCGATTGATTGATTAACTTTTTGGACCAAATTTATTTGTTAATAGTAAAATATTAACAGAAATGTTATTAAATATTTGTTTTAATAACAAAATATTAATATTAAATATTAATATTAAATCCAATCCGTTTTTCTGTTTTGGTAACAGAAAAGTAACTACCCTCTTCAATTTTCCCTCTTTATTTTCCCTCTTTATTATTGAGTAAATGGCCATTTATGTAATGGCATTTATGCTGTGGGCGTTTTGCATAAACAGCCATTCTGAAGAGTTGCACCTCTTCAGATTTCAGCCTAACTTTGGCTATAAATACAACACTATTCTGCTCAGAATTTCACTACGATTTTCTGAGTTTCTTCTCCTTCTTCTGCATACTTTTAGCATCAAACAAAGCAAAAAGTAAGTGTGATTTGCTACCGAACTTTGTGTTCGCTGAAACACTGGGGTTTGAAGTACCACTACACCAGTGTGTAATTCGTTCTATCCTGGGAGGAAATAATCCATAACCTTGTGTACTAGGAGGGGATTAAATTCCTTAAGGAAACACTGTGAATTCAGTGGGCTCGAATTGGTTTTATGTCATTTCTGTTTATGTTCATTTCTGTTTATACTCATTTATATTTCCAGAATTATTTTACAAATACAGTCAACTAACAAATAGTTCTACACATAAATATTCTTGAAACACCCCCC